TTATACAATACCAGTCAAAAGTTTGGACACACCTAATCATTCAAGGGTTTTTCTTTATTTGTAATATTTTCTACATTGTAGAATAATAGTGAAGACATCAAAACTATGAAATAACACATATGGAATCATGTAGTAACCAAAAAAGTGTTAAACAAATTAAAATACATTTTATATTTGAGAATCTTCAAATAGCCACCCTTTGACTTGATGACAGCTTTGCAAACTCTTGGCATTCTCTCAACCAGCTTCACCTGGAATGCTTTTCCAACAGTCTTGAAGGAGTTCCCACATACGCTTAGCACTTATTGGCTGCTTTTCCTTCACTCTGCCGTCCGACTCATCCCAAACCATCTCAATTGGGTTGAGGTCGGGGGATTGTGGAGGCCAGGTCATCTGATGCAGCAGTCTATCACTCTCCTTCTTGGTCAAATAGCCCTTACACATCCTGGAGGTGTGTTTTGGGTCATTGTCCTGTTGAAAAACAAATTATATTCCCACTAAGCCCAAACCAGATGGGATGGCGTATCGTTGCAGAATATTGTGGTAGCCATGCTGGTTAAGTGTGCCTCGAATTCTGAATAAATCACAGACAGTGTCACCAGCAAAGCACCCCCACACCCTAACACCTCCTCCTCCATGCTTTACGGTGGGCACTACACATGTGGAGATCATCCGTTCACCCACACCACGTCTCACAAAGACAGAGTGGTTGGAACCAAAAATCTCCAATTTGGACTCCAGACCAAAGGACACATTTCCACCGGTCTAATGTCCATTGCTCATGTTTCTTGGCCCAAGCAGGTCTGTTCTTCTTATTGGTGTCCTTTAGTAGTGGTTTCTTTGCAGCAATTCAACCATGAAGGCCTGATTCACACAGTCCCCTCTGAACAGTTGATGTTGAGATGTGTCTGTGACTTGAACTCTGTGAAGCATTTATTTGGGCTGCAGTTTCTGAGGCTGGTAACTCTAATGAACTTATCCTCTGCAGCAGAGGTAACTCTGGGTCTTCCATTCCTGTGGTGGTCCTCATGAGAGCCAGTTTCATCATAGCGCTTGATGGTTTTTGCGAATGCACTTGAAGAAACTTTCAAAGTTATTGAAATGTTCCATATTGACCATCCTTCATGGTAAAAATAAATACAAACCCTTGAATGAGTAGGTGTTCTCAAACTTTTTGACCGGTAGTGTACATGTACAATGTACAATATATATATACAGTGAGGGAAAAAAGTATTTGATCCCCTGCTGATTTTGTACGTTTGCCCACTGACAAAGAAATGATCAGTCTATAATTTTAATGGTAGGTTTATTTGAACAGTGAGAGACAGAATAACAACAACAAAATCCAGAAAAACGCATGTCAAAAATGTTATAAATTGATTTGCATGATTTCCACCCTATTCACTACTGTTGGGGGTAAAGACCTGCAAAAGACTAGCGTCCTGTCCAGGGTGTGGACTTGTACATCAAGCTGCCGCACACTACGAAACAGGAGATAGGCTCCTGCCCTATGGGCCATTCTTGCTCGGACAAAGCTACTTCACTGAACTTCTATTCAGCGTGGATCAGGCACAGGCCTTAGTAATAAAAAAATAAATGCACTGTTGGTTAAGGGCTGTAAGTAAGCATTTCACTGTAATGTCTGCACCTGTTGTATTCGGCGCATGTGACCAATAAAATTTGATTTGATTTGATTTGATTTGATTTGAAGAAAGCACATATACATGCCCGTCTGAAGTTTGCCAATGAACATCTGAATGATTCAGAGGAGAACTGGGTGAAAGTGTTGTGGTCAGATGAGACCAAAATGGAGCTCTTTGACATCAACTCAACTCGCCGTGTTTGGAGGAGGAGGAATGCTGCCTATGACCCCAAGAACACCATCCCCACCGTCAAACATGGAGGTGGAAACATTATGCTTTGGGGGTGTTTTTCTGCTAAGGGGACAGGACAACTTCACCACATCAAAGGGACGATGGACGGGGTCATGTACCGTCAAATCTTGGGTGAGAACCTCCTTCCCTCAGCCAGGGCATTGAAAATGGGTTGTGGATGGGTATTCCAGCATGACAATGACCCAAAACACACAGCCAAGGCAACAAAGGAGTGGCTCAAGAAGAAGCACATTAAGGTCCTGGAGTGGCCTAGCCAGTCTCCAGACCTTAATCCCATAGAAAATCTGTGGAGGGAGCTGAAGGTTTGAGTTGCCAAACGTCAGCCTCGAAACCTTAATGACTTGGAGAAGATCTGCAAAGAGGAGTGGGACAAAATCCCTCCTGAGATGTGTGCAAACCTGGTGGCCAACTACAAGAAACTGTGGCCAACTACAAGAAACTCCCTCCCTCCTCCCCCCTCCCCCCCTCCCTTCCTACCCCCCTCCCTCCCTCCCTACCCCCCTCCCTCCTTCCTTCCTACCTCCCTCCCTCCCTCCCTACCCCCCCTCCCTCCCTCCCTCCCTCCCTCCCTCCCCCCCTTACTCCTTCCTTCCTTCCTTCCTCCCTCCCTCACAAGTTCAGTTCAGGGCCCCAGCCATCACTCTGAATGATGTCAGTCACATTAATTGCTGTCTGCTTGCTGTGTCCCTCTAATACTGCCCCCAGCATGCTTCAGGACGTTCTGCTGACACTGAGGCAAGGGCAGTACTGAGCCTACATCAGAACACTGGACAGCACTGTCATCCCACTGCAGAACTGTGCTCCGCTGTGTGTGTGTGTGTGTGTGTGTGTGTGTGTGTGTGTGTGTGTGTGTGTGTGTGTGTGTGTGTGTGGTGTGTACAGGCTACAGTACAGTATGAGGGAGGCTTTGGCTGTGAGACAGAGAGCTCCTCTCGTCAGGTTTAATAACATTGGAGGTATGACATTAACTTCAGAGTGACTAACCTGGAATCCGAAGTGAATGTCGTTCTGGTGACTATTGCTTTCAACTCTTATTCAGTGATCCACCCTATTCACTACTGTTGGGGGTAAAGACCTGCAAAAGACTAGCGTCCTGTCCAGGGTGTGGACTTGTACATCAAGCTGCCGCACACTACGAAACAGGAGATAGGCTCCTGCCCTATGGGCCATTCTTGCTCGGACAAAGCTACTTCACTGAACTTCTATTCAGCGTGGATCAGGCACAGGCCTTAGTAATAATAAACATACCACAGATAGAGGCCTATATTTATTCAGAAATAATTGTTGTATACTGGCACAAAACCACATAGCTGTTATATGATCTACAATGAGATTCTTAGAGTTGAGATAACAAGTACTGGTTTCAGTGAGGGAATAAACAAGCAGATTGTAAAGAAAAATACTTCAGTTCGTCCCAAATGACACCCTATTCCCTATATAGTATAGTACGTTTGACTAGAGCCCCATAGGCCCTAGTCAAAAGTAGTGCACCATACAGTATAGGGAATAGGGTGTCATTTGGGACGCACCCTTTCTTTCTCGGCTCCATGTCGGTTTCATGACAATCACACGGTCATTTGTTTTAATTAGTTTCACCTCTAGTTAATTAAGGGAAACTTTTCATGAGAAATTCAGACATGACACAAAAATTATTCAAATATTCCTAAAATGACTATGTAATTGCTGGCCACCGAGGGAGATCGTTCAAGATTGGCGTTGAAATTGGACATCTATCCATGTCCTGAGGATGTAGTGAAATGCGAGACTTTTTTTGTTTTTTGTTATACCCTATCCCAAACCTTAACCCCTTACCTTAACCATTTGGAATGAGCGCCTAAACTTAACCCTTAACTTCAAAATGTGACGTTTGGAGAAATGGAAGGATACAGAGCAACAGGAGAAACAAGAACACTTCAAAATCTGACGTTTGGAGAACGTGGATGAACGTCTAATTCTGCAGTGAGACCGTGAGAGCTAGTTGGGCCACCTGGCATTGCTTTGGAAAACCCACAGACACAATGCAAGATGAGGAGCTCATTAATAAGGTAGAACACCTTGGAGGGGGATTTAAAATGGTGGTCCAAATTAAATTGATGTTTGTTATGAAATAGCCTTAAGCTTTCTGAATTTCATTACCATCATTAGAAAGATTATTCAGTTGACCATCATTTGGCGTTCCCCCATCAATTAAAACAATGGAAGTATAGGTATGGACTTTAACAAGAACACACTCAAAGTTACTGTTTGCAAGAGAACAAATTGTAAAAAATAACATATTTTCTTGAAGTACTGTATTTAAGCTCTTCACTTTTCTAATAAAGTGTCCTGTTTTTTAACATTCTGTTAAGTTCACAATAATGCACACAATATCAATCTCTATTGGACAGTCTGAAATCCTTCTAGCTGCCTCAGTAGAGACGTTTTTAAGTCATTCATTCACATGTTTATGTTCATACATAAATATGATTTGGTTTGAGTCTTAAAACTCTATGACGTTTGAGATCTGTAGCGGTCAGTGTGTGTGTGTGTGTGTGTGTGTGTGTGTGTGCGTGCGTGCGTGCGTGCGTGCGTGCGTGTGTGTGCGTGTTGCCAGCCCAGTCTGTGGATTATCAGTCTCAGAGAATCGTTAGCACCACTCTTCCTGTACTCGGTCACACACAGTCATAATATCAAATCCTTCACCCTTTTTCATGTCTACTAGATCACTGGATCACTGGACAGCCCACAGAGACACTGGATCACTGGATCAGAGCCCAGTCTGAGGCCCTGACTCACTGTAGTATCTACTCTACAGAGACACTGTGTCACTAGACTTACCGCATTCACTGCACAGTCAGGGACACTGCAAAGGGTCACTCATCTCTCATTGCAGTGCCATTTCAGATCAAACTGCATGTTAGGTGGCGGAACCCTCAATGACAACATCAAACCTTTTTACACCAAGGTTGTAGTGCTTCCTCTGCTTGCTTATGGCGATACAATGTACCAGATGATGGCATGCCATAGTTCTCTGTTGTTCCATGACAGCCGGTCCTGTAGATCCTCTTCTGAGACCAGTGTCTCAGCAGATGTTGTACTACCAGTGGGAGTTCTGAGGCTCTGAGCTCATTTCTTATTGAGACAGAACGTGTCCATCCCGTGATCTCCAGGACAGAGTCTGTGGCAGCCCAGGAGGATAGAGAACGCCTTGCGGAAGTCTGGGTTGAAGGCATATATGATGGGGTTGAGAGAAGAGTTGGCCCAGCCCAACCACACAAACACATCAAACATAGTGGGGCTGATACAGGTGAAGGAGGCCACGCCACCGGGGGGCGACAGCTCACAGAACGGCACCATGCAGTTCAGGACGAAGAAGGGCAGCCAGCAGCACACGAACACGCCCACGATCAGAGTCAGCGTCTTCAGGACCTTTGTCTCCCGTTTGAACGTCATCTTGAACGAGCTCTCTGATTCGGATATGCTGGATCCTCCACCGCCTCCACCCAAGCTGTTGTGTCGGTTCTTGACGCTCTCTGCGGCCCGTTCTAGGGTGGCGATGCATCTGATCTGACGGTGGGTGATGCGGTAGATCTGGGTGTAGGTGGCCACCATGATGATCACTGGGATATAGAAGCTGATCAGAGAGGTGAAGATGGCGTAGGTCCGGTTCAGGCTGAAGTGACAGTTGTCCCAGTCCCGGGGGGCCTGATGTGTGTTGTTATCCCCAACAGGGTTAGAGGAGTCTGGGGAGGCCTGGAGGCTGTAGGGGGTGGTTGTGGAGGTAGTGATGGAGGTAGAGGTAAAGGTCTGGGCTTTGTGCCAGTTGAGCTGGACGGGGATGAAGGAGATGAGGACGGAGAGCGTCCAGGCCACGCTGATCATCACGAACGCCACTTTAGGAGTCATCTTCCTCTCATAGCGGAACGGGCTGGATATCGCCCAGTAACGGTCCACGCTGATCACACACAGGTTCAAGATGGACGCCGTGGAGCACATGATGTCGAACGCCACCCAGGTGTCGCAGAACGAGCCAAATGGCCAGAACCCTGCAACCTCCGTCACGGCCTTCCACGGCATCACCAGGACAGCGACCAGGAGGTCGGAGACGGCCAACGAAATCACAAAGAAGTTGGTGACTTTGGAACGCAGGTGACGGCACTTGGTGACGGCGGCGCACACAAGGATGTTGCCGAGCAACGTGGAGAGGATGAGCAGCGAGAGGAAACAGCCAGTCAGGACGCGGGTTGAGGAGTCATCCAATAAGACACCCCCGTCGCTGGCTGTGATGACCGTGGTGTCATTCGTCAGATCCATCATCGGTGGGGAGGGACGATGTGTGTGCGTGTGTGTAGGGTGGGGGAGGGGGGGGGGGGTTCAATCAGCTCATAATGTAGAGAAGAGCCGCATCAGAAGGAAAGCCCTCAGGGTTTTTCCCTTTCATCCAAACAAACATCTCTGATAACGTCTTGTTGTTTGTTTGTGTCCCGTGATAGTAGACAACAGTTAGGTAAAAGACATTCCAGGGAGCCTCTTTCTGGGGTTGGCATTGTTCCAGACTCTGAATCTGTTCTGACATCCTTTGTTCTGGAGAGGTGGATGGTTGTACATAATCCCACAGGGATAGTAGAGGTTTTAGATCTCCGTACAGGGTGAGAGGAGTCCTTCTGTCTGCTGTATCCCATGTGTCCTGTGGACAGACAGACAGACAGGTAGACTGGTCACAGGCTGACCGAGGTGACTCTCCCTACCATCAGCACTGGAGAGGAAGAGAGGAGTGACAACGTAACCTCATCAGCGTCAAATCATGCACAGTGTGAGCCTACACAATAGTGGTTCTCAAAATAGAACCAGGTTGTATATTTTTCCTTAATGGTGTCTGTTTAATAGTTACAGTATTTTGAATAACAATCATGTTGTGTTACTTGCTCTGCCTCTTTTAAATAGCTTTCCAGGGTTCCCTGATAGAGGGAATTAGCTTCTGTGGTGTATTCACATGCTTTAACGCCATAGAATGTACAGGCAAAAATCTCTGGCTAGACAACAAAGTCATATTTTCTTCTACTCAATTATATTGTATTGTATTGTATTGTATTGTATTCCAGTCTTTAGAATAATTTTCTATTTGATTCAATTCTATTCTAGTTTCCCAGTGTATGTTTTTGTATACCTAGGATGCTTTGTAAAAATGAGTGTGGGTAAGAACTAGATCAATTATCTAATATCCAGCCAGCTCCATATAAACAGTTACTCACCAATTTACTCAGGACAAGGAAACCATGAGATTTCCAAGGGCAGCATCACTTCTCCAAAAGTACATTCCTTTAGGTAAACATGTAATTCATCTATTTTAATATTAACTTGTTTGTTAGGGATTGAGTTCTGCTCACTCTCTGTAAAGCTGGGGGAAATGACCCTTAGCCCCATAGTTACCAATTATATCCATGTCAAAGGAAGAAGGAAAAAAATCAATAGGGTAATTACAGGCGACCTCCGACCTAAATCTTGACTTCAGACCATCAGATAACGAACGACGGTTGAAGGAGAGAAACGACGGTTGAAGGAGCACAATGATCATTTGATTTGACAGTTGATTAGGCCTAACCTCCGTGACCCTTTCTGACGTTGCGCCCGAAAATCACTTCGTTTGCGCAACGCTTCCCTCAGCGGATTCAAGTCCCGTATATCCGCTCTCCCGGTCTCCCCGTCTCCGCAACACCAAAGGCACGGAGAGGTCGCACTACCACCAGCGACCCCCGTTCCGCATCAGTGCTGTGACGTCACATTGGCCATTCGAAGACGACACCACATGAAACGATTGTCGTTTGGTTTATCCCCCTCTGCATGCGCATTTAATTCCGTTATTGGAATCCGGTCCGTTCTGGAAAAATGTGAGCAAGTCTGGTAATCTCTACTCCAATCTTCACCTGTAAAATTTATATAAATATGAGAATTAGGCACTCTTCCAGAATAAAAAATTCACATTTTACAAACCTCATTAAGGAGTATCCCCCTACTTGTGTTTCTTCTTCAATAAGTGTTACTGAATAATAAAGATTTATTCAACCTTTTAGAACATTAGTTTTCAGTGTCATTTAGGGAGAGATTATTTCCAGATGCACTTGGACACATACAGGTCCCTGAGGCCACCTAATGGAGAGAGAGAGAATACTGATGGATGGATGAAGGGATGTCTATAAATCAATTTATCTGTGAAGGATGTGACCTGTTGGTAGACGAGGTCAGTCAATCAATACGAATAATTAGTGATGACCTGTGAAAGATAACTTAATGTCTAATCAGAACATTAGCCTACACATCAAACTCCCAGGTTCCGTCCCAAATGTTACCCTATTCCCTAGATACTGCACTACTTTTGTAGTCCACTATGTAGGGAATAGGGTGCTATTTGGGACACATACCCAGTTTCTCTCCATCAGAATAGAGTGCCTTTCTTGTGTGACCCAAAGGCACCTCGGTTTTAGGCCCTGCAGTTGAAATAGTGTACATCATCAACTAATAAATTGTCTGCTTCTCTAAGAATAAAACAATTTGACAATATCTGTCATAGTCCCAGTTGTGTCTGTCTGTCAGCTTGAACAAGCAGCTAGAACAGGCAGCTAGAACAGGCAGCTGGAACAGGTAGCTGGAACAGGCAACTGGGACAGGCAGCTAGCGTGTGGAGCCACATTGCGGCAGCAGCTCAGTGATCGACACTGACAGACATATGTTAAATAACAACAGGGCGATTTACAGTTTTTTGAATCACTTTGGTGCAATTTTCACAAGTATGTGGTACATTTTCACAACTCTTAGTACAAACCTCAAAACAGATAATTAAAAAGGCTAAGCAAATGTTAAATTAGCTAAGTAGCTTACAGTGCATTCGCAAAGTATTCAGACCCCATCACATTTTCCACATTTTGTTACGTTACAGCCTTATTCTAAAATGTATTACATTGTTTTTTTCCCTCATCAATCTACACACCCAATACCCCATAATGACAAAGCAAAAACAGGTTTTTTGAAATGTTTGCTACTGTATCAAATACAATAAACTGAAATATCACATTTACATAAGTATTCAGAACCTTTACTCAGTACATTGTTGAAGCACCTTTGGCAGCGATTACAGCCTCAAGGCTTCTTGGGTATGACGCTACAAGCTTGGCACAACTGTATTTGTGGTGTTTCTCCCATTCCTCTCTGCAGATCCTCTCAAACTCTGTCATATTGGATGGGGAGCGTTGCTGCACAGCTATTTTCAGGTCTCTCCAGAGATGTTCAATCGGGTTCAAGTCCGGGCTTTGACTGGGCCACTCAAGGACATTCAAATAAAATAAAATCAAAATAAAATGTCACATGCGCCGAATACAACAGGTGTAGACCTTACCGTGAAATGCTTACTTACAAGCCCTTAACCAACAATGCAGTTTTAAGAAAATAGAGTTAACATTTTACATTTTTACATTTTAGTCATTTAGCAGACGCCCTTATCCAGAGCGACTTACAGTTAGTGAGTGCATTCATTATATTTTTTATACTGGCCCCCCGTGGGAATCGAACCCACAACCCTGGCGTTGCAAATGCCATGCTCTACCAACATCCCTGCCGGCCATTCCCTCCCCTACCCTGGACGACGCTGGGCCAATTGTGCGCCGCCCCAAGAATGCAAATAGTCCGGGTGGCCATTTGATTAATTGTTCAGCAGCATTATGGCTGGAGGGTAGAAGCTGTTAAGGAGCCTTTTGGACCTAGACTTGGTGCTCCGGTACCACTTGCCGTGCGGTAGCAGAGAGAACAGTCTATGACGGTGACTGGAGTCTTTAACAATTTTTAGGGCCTTCCTCTGACACCGCCTAGCATATAGGTCCTGCATGGCAGGAAGCTTGGCCCCAGTGATGTACTGGGCTGTATGCATTACTCTCTGTAGCAGCTTAAGGTTGGATGCCGAGCAGTTGCCATACCAGGCGGTGATGCAACCGGTGAGGATGCTCTCGATGGTGCAGCTGTATAACTTTTTGAGTATCTGGGGACCCATGCCAAATCTTTTCAGTCTCCTAAGGGGGAAAAGGCGTTGTCGTGCCCTCTTCACGACTGTCTTGGTGTGTTTGGACCATGATAGTTTGTTGGTGATGTGAACACCAAGGAACTTGAAACTCTCGACCCGCTCCACTACAGCCCTGTCGATGTGAATTGGGACGTTTTCGGCCCCCCTTTTCCTGTAGTCCATGATCATCTCCTTTGTCTTGTTGACGTTGAGGGAGAGGTTGTTGTCCTGGCAGGTTAAAGAAGGATTTTTAAGCCTTGAGACAATATGTGTGCCATTCAGAGGGTCAATTGGCAAGACAAAATATTTAAGTGCCTTTGAACGGGGTATGGTAGTAGGTGCCAGGCGCACCGGTTTGAGTATGTCAAGAACTGCAACGCTGCTGGGTTTTTCACGGTCAACAGTTTCCTGTGTGTATCAAGAATGGTCCACCACCCAAAGGACATCCAACCAACTTGACACAACTGTGGGAAGCATTGGAGTCAACATGGGCCAGCATCCCTGTGGAACGCTTTCGACACCTTGTAGAGTCCATGCCCCAATGAATTGAGGCTGTTCTGAGGGCAAGAAGAAGTGCAACTTAATGTGTTCCTAATGTTTTGTACACTCAGTGTATATTCCATGTATTCAATAAAAAGGCTGGTTTGGTCATAGTTTTGTAGAATTTCCACTGGTGCACAGAAACACAATCCACAATAGAAATAAGGCAAGGTGAATACAATGGAGGAACACAACTGGTATGAATGTATAGGCCTCAATCCACACCAAAGCAAAGCTCTATAATAGAAGGTCACAATGTTGGAGATGATGACTGAGTAGTAACCTAAAGTTACTTAGGAGTAACCCAACTTCATTCTCTGCATTTCCGCAATATTGTAAAAAAGAATCATAACAACTAGACAGTTCCCATTGCCTAGATACTTTATATATATTGTACACGGTGTGACACTGATGGGGTGATTTAGAATTTCGTGCTGTAGTATTTACTGATTGCCAGAAACAGTGAACACAATTATCTTCTGTTGAAAACATTAATATTCTGTGAATAAAACACTAAACAGTGAATTTTGTATTCACTGATGGCATTTTGTATTTAAAGTTTTGCAAAGGGTGGTCTAAGATATGCAAGTCAGGTACCAAGGCGAGAAAATGTGTTGGAATTAAAATCTCTCTCTCGCTCACGCACGCACACATTGTTTCTATGGAACGCCGTTTATGTATTTGACCATGCGCGTCAAATAATACAATCCTATTATAGAATGTTGTGTGT